AATTATAATAATAAAGGCCTTATATTTAAAGCTAAGGGGCTTAATATACTTAAATTAATAAGGTTTTATGCCTTATTATTAATAGCTTTAATAATATATTAAAAATAGCCCTATTTATAATAAATAGGTTACCTCTTAATTAGCTAAAGAGCTTTTAATCCCTTTATATAATAACTCTCCTCTCTAATATTAACTTTCTAATTACCCTTATAACTCTTAATTAATTAAAGGTTAAAATTATTTCTATTAATATTATTAATAGAGGTTTAATAATTATAATTATTATTTATAATAAAAATAAATTACTTAATTATATTATAATACTTTTCTATTAAGACCTTTAACCTATAAATTAAAGTCATATAATAAATATATATAAGGATAAACTTATTTATAATAAGTTTCTCTTTACTTAGATAATTACTAGCCTAAGTAATTAGCTTTATATAGAGCTTAAAAAAAAAGCTTTTAATAAAGCCTTTTAAGGCATTATATAGAAAAAATAGCTATAAAATAATAACTAAAAGATTATACTAATAATCTTTAGCTATAAGATTATCTTTCTACCTAGCCTCTTTCTAAATAATAATAATTATAATAATTAATTTAATTAGGTTAAAGTAAAGCTCTTTAGGCTAGAGAGCTTTTAATATAAGATTAAGTAAAATAAAATATTTAATTAGCCTAAAGAGTTATTCCTTTAAGCTTTTAATAATATAGCGCTAAGCTAGCTATATAATAAATAACTTATAATATTAATTCTCGCCTAGAATATTATTTATGCCTTATAATATATATAATAGAATATATTAAAGAGATATTATTATAGCTATAAATTAGCTATAAAGCTAAAAGAGAAATATTAAGTTATAGGGATAATTAGTATTATAAATCTTAGAGGTTAATATTAGAGTTTAAACTTAAATATTTAGCGCTAATTAGCGGCGCTAGACTTAGTAGCAAAAGAAAATATAGGTTTAACTTATTAAACCTATCTAATTAAATATAAGATATATATATCTCGGCCTATATAAATAAGTAATAATAATAATCTTAATAGTAGTTTTAATAGTAATAATAATTATTATAATAATCTAGGCCTTAAGTTATTTAATTTCTTTATTATTATTACTTAAGTTAAATACTTTATTTATTTCCTTATTATTATTAAGATCTACTTAGGCTAATATAATAAAAATAAATAATTAATAAATAAGTAATATCTATTAGGGGTTATTACTAAGAGTAGCCTAAGTAATTATTATATTTAATATTATTTAAGGTAATATAAGTAATCCTCTAAATAAAAGCTATTAATATATAATAATTATAGAATTCCTAAGAGATAAATTAATTATATTAATTTATATTAATAAAAGAGACTATTATATAATCTTAATAGGTAATATAAATTATATCTAATAATATACTTAAAGGTATTAAGTATAATTAAGTTATATTAATAGCTAAGGTAATTAATACATAAGAAAATATAATAAGTATATTTTATATACTTAAGGTTAGGTCCTTAGATTATAAGGGATTAAAGGATATTAGTTATAGTCTAATTATAATCTTTCGCATAGATTACGGCGGGATTATATCTTCTTAGCGTAATCTAAGTTAATTTATGCAATAATTAGTTAATATAATAGGCCTTCTTTTCATTACGTAATAACAGAGTATATTAGGCCGTGATAATAAGGGCCTTATGATAGGCCACGTTATACTATTTAACTAGCTAACATTTCAAGTCCATTTATTATCTAAGTATCCCTCCTACCCTCTTCTCTCCTTCTAGCCCCCGCCTATCCTAATCAAGCACCGACAATGGCCCACAGGTCCTTTGTTTAGTATTCTTACGAGTCGCTCTAGTTGTCATGTTCGACTTGTACTTTGTTCATCTCTACGATGCGTTGAGTGACTGTAGCGGTCTTGTGGAATCGATATGGCTTGATCTTTCGTTCGAAAAGTTCATCGAGCTCGGCTGCAGAGCGTCTGGTATCATTTAGCAGAAGTTCCATCTCGGAAAATGTATCGAAGTCATACCCAGCCGTCTCAGGGATCAAAAACCACATGGCTAAGGTGAAAGGGAAGCCAACTCCAGCAAAGAACCAACAAGTCTTGAGGCCCCAGTTCCACTGATTGGCATTGATCATATATGGGACTAAGACTCCCATCACAATACCAACCGGACCAATCATTCCCATGGCGAAACCAGACGTGTAGGTTCGAAGTCTCTGAGAGGAAATCTCAGCGATAAACCCGTAACCAGTTGATCCGTTGGCCATCAGTCCGATGTCTAAACATCCATGGATTAGTATTTGAACTGAGATTGCATTATCTGCGGGAATCTTACTCCATAAACAAGCGAATACAACAATAAGGTTATTGCTCGCCTTGCCCTTAGGCACAACACCCAGGATACCAACAGCAATGTTGCAGAACCAACAAAGACTTGTTCCGTAGCATGCTATCCATCTACGGCCTGTGACATCAGCCAAATATATGACCAAGACACAGGCAGCAATATTAATGCCAGAAGTGATGCAGGTGACCTTGAAGGGGTCGGGGACGCCAGCCTGTTGGAAGAAATAGGTTCCGTAGCTGAGGAAAACCTGAAGGCCGATGAATTGCTGGGTCATTAGGGTCCAGAAGGAAATGACCGTGCGAAGTCCATCGGTGCCTTTGAAGATAGCATACCAGTGCTCGCGTCGCTGCTCTGCGGCCACAGCACGCTCGTGCTCGAGATTGAGAACGATAAGATTGTACTGGTGCTCGATATCAAAATCCTTGGCGTCCCTATAGATCAGACGAAGCATCTTCTTGGCGCGATCAACTTGGCCGCGAGCAACACACCAGGCTGGCGACTCTGGAATGAGCAGGTAGATAATCAACATCAGTCCAATATGGCCCCATTGCGAATAAACGGGTGTGAGCCAGTTCGAGGAGTCGTTCTGCGAGATGATCTGTAGAGCGAGGGGGGCGAAGAATTGTCCAATAACCCACCAGAGGCTGTAGGACATCAAGAAGGCACCTCGCGCTCGGATTGGTGCCACCTCACTGATGTAAAGGGGAATGGTAGCCTGCATACCACCGACGCCGAGACCTCCAAGAATCTTTGCCACAAGCCAGACTTTCCAGTTTCGAGAAATACATTCGATGGTAACGCTGAGGGCGAGAAGAATCCAGAAAGTAAACATGGCGACTTTCCTGCCGTATCGATTGGATAGGAACGAGATTGACATCTGGCCGACCAATTGACCGACAGATCCGAGCGAGCCCCAGGCACTCATAATCGAGGATGCAAGGACAACGTCGCCGGCATCATTGACCTGCGTTCCGAATTGCTTGACGAAGCCAGCGTTGGCGACGATAACACCGACTAGTCTAATGAATGAGTTGATAAGTCAGACGTGTCTCTTCTAATCCCCCCTTTGGGTTTCCCAAGACGCGGGGTATACGAACTGGATCTGATATCCTTCAGCGGCAGCACTGAGTGCGGTGAAAAAGCAGATCAAAGCGTTGATCTTGAACGCCTTGACCGTCTGCCAGGCACTCAGGTTCTCGTATCCAGTGAGACCCTGACCCTGGGCAGCAGCACTAGAGGCCAAGTCTTTCAGTGCATCAGGGGCTTCGTTGGGAACTTGCCGCTCCTCCGCGGACGGCTTCTCGTCGAAAATGGCCATGTTGGGGCACGATCGGTTGGCTGGTGTAAGACGCCCAAGTGATGAGATATGAGTGTGAGGAAATGCAGATGATGATAGGCTGTTGCGATCTTCAAACATGTTGCCGATCAGAGGGAGGAGATGGTTTATATATCTGCACCACGCCAATTTTTCACGTCTAATCTGGTACCTGTGTAAGGAGCCCTTGTCACCTGGACTGGGAGTCAGAATTAACCCAACCCCATCGTATGATGCATGGCTAGACCCGTTACCCCAGACTTTCCCAGACTTTCCTTGTCTTCGAGTCATGGGGTGCGAGTTGTGGGGTGCGGAGGATGGGGTTAGCTCTTCGGGGCTAGGGGTCTTGGAGGCATGATCCAAAGAACTTGTTGGTGGCGCCGTTTTTGGCGAATCGCCTTTTGATAAGCGATTTTTCGTATTCAATGCGCATTTGCTGAGCCCCATGCCAGTAGCAGCTAGTTTCCCCGGGTAAATTCTGAAAGTTGCAGCCCCACGCTGCCGTCGACTCACGCTATCGGCTTGGCGGATGAGCTACGATCAGGACGGACAGACCTGGTTGTTTGTTGGCACGCCCAGCACAAAGCCTGGGCGAATAGTGTGACCTGCGCAATGGGAAACACCCTGCAAAGATGATTACCGACCGATAACAACTTAGGTCCAGTCACCTGTCTCTCGTATGTTATACTGCGAACACGTCACAAGTCTCTGCTCCTCTGAACCCAATGCGCCAAAGGTCTCCATGGCGGCTGACTTTTTGTCAGCTTTTTTTAATTAGCCTAAATGCCTTCTCGTGGTTTACTTACCAATGTAGCATTAGCCTGAAGGATTCCCCATCTTGCCCAATAGGGGCTAAAACATTCAGACGAGGATCAGTCCCCAACACCCACTGCACACACTAGCTTCGCTAGCCAATGTCCCGAGCCGGAGAGCTCATCATGCGCCAGTTGGTAAGTTCGGTCAGTCTCTATTCTGTAGAGGAAAACCGCGGTCTTTCTCCCGAACAGCTTTCTCATCCTCGGCCTGGGGCCAAAGCGCCGACAGTCGCCAAAGGTTCGACAAACATGGAGCAGTCACCAATCAATCCCATTGTTTCGGGGTTCGCGCCAGACCCGTCTGTCGCGGTCATAGATGGGACCTTCTTCCTTGCCACATCATCCTTCCATCTTTTTCCTGGTCTTCCCATCTATACATCCAATGACCTGGTGTCATGGACGAACATAGGTATGTTCGGAATCCACACAGCCCGGAGCAAGATGGCAGCTGGTGTTGACATTTTTCCAAGGGAATGCAATCAATCGGAAAGGCCAAATTGGTCTCTCAAACTCGAGAACACGCCCTATTCATGTCACAGATGAGGGCGAGCCGCTGTTAGCTGCAGGTGGACTGTGTGCTCCGACCATTCGCCATCACAAGGGAACAACATATATCGTTTGCACCAACGTCATCCATAAGAAGGGAGAGTCTGGTCAATGCTATGAGAAGTTTGTCATATCATTAACCGATATATGGTCCAACACATGGAGTGATCCAGTCTACTTTGACTTCAACGGTATCGATCCTGATCTCTTCTTTGAGGATGACAACCGGACTTATATCTATGGCTCTTCATATACAACCGGACCACCGTGGATATCCAGGGTTGCTATCAATTGTTTTGAGATCGATATACAGACCGGCGAAAACTTTCACCGCAAAAGGAGGTCTGGGAAGGGTTTAGTAAAATGGTTCCGGAGGGACCACGTCTCTATAAGCGGGAGGGATGGTACTACCTTTTGACTGCTGAAGGCAGAACAGATGACGGTCACAATACCACGATTGCGCGATCAAAGTCTATCTGGGGCCCCTTTTAGTCTTATGAGGGCAATCCAATCTTGGACGTCTGTAGTGAAACGGCCTACCTCTCACACACAGGCCATGGGGATCTCTTTCAGGACCTTGAAGGAAACTGGTGGATCGTTGTCTTAGGCGTGAGAAAAGAAGGCGGCATATGCCCAATGAGTCGCGAGAGTTTCATCAGTCCGGTCCAATGGCCAGAAGGTGGCTGGCCGAATGTCCCGCCCATTCAGTCGAATCCTGACATGGCTGTAAAAGGGTTTCCAGGCTCCTCGAAGTTGATTCCCTCACTGAGGCACCTTGATTTCCTCCACATCCGTGACACCGAATCTGAAGACTATGTGGTCTCTCAAGATGGCCACAGCGTTTCCATTAGGCCACGTCAAGCCCCGCTACTGGACCCAATGGGTCCGATTTCCTTCATTGGAAAGCGCCGAAGAAGACTTCAAGGAGATTCGAGAGTGTCCCTGCCCAAATCATCCTTGGAGACTGTGGGAGTATTGGAAGCCGGTCTGGCTTATTACAAGGATGAGTTTCGTGTTGTGAGAGTCTTTTGGAGCCTAGAAACGTCTACCATCGTCTTCAAGCTTGAGAACAAGCTTCGGTCCTTAACGCAGCGAGTTGAGATTGTCTCACAACCCAAACGTTCTGTGGACTTCCGCATCTCCTATACTTCTCAGCATGTCGAGTTCAGCTTTGCTGAGGACGGATCCAAATGGATCTTGTTGTCCAAGGTCGATGCCTACGCTCTGTACGGATCTGGCTTCGTTGGTCCAATTATCGGCGTGTACGCCACTACGGAACGCGACGCAAGTTTTGTCGAGTTCAAGGGATCTCAGGTTGAATAGATCCTTAATAAGAGCCAATTTCTTTTCGTTTATAAGACCCTGAATTCAACTCTGTAATGAAAACGAAATACCCTCAATAAATCTATATCGGTCAAGCTTCGGACCCAATTTCCTCAAGCTGTCAACAACAACCACACCAGTCTCCAACATCGGCATTTCCGTCTTCAAAGTCTTCAAAAATGACTCTGGGCCTCTTTGATACTGTAGGGCACGCATTCTGCAATCATTGTACGACCAGGAATGCTGCTTGGGATAGGAAATCCACCATAATCAGGATCCTCGCTGGGCATAATAACACACGATCCATGGATCGTCTCGTCGCCGTTTAGAACACGGGCACATCTCAGTGCACCCGACTCGTCGACCTCCATTTCCTTGACGCTGTGGACGCTTGTGAGCGTCGAGTCTGGGTCCGTAGATGCAAAGTTGATCTGGACGCCAAATCCTGCGATGAGGAAGCGGCCGTTGGGTTGGCGGATGATGATTCCCGCTGCGGAGCTGGGGATACCAAAAACAGAAGCACGCTTCACGGTGACCAGGAAATCGCCAAAGGACTTAACCCATTGCGTCTTGGACTTGGATGTCATCTCGGCATCCTCGTCAAAGAAGAAGCCCATGATGTCGTCCGGGCGATTGGCGTGGGCATCAAGGATGTAATCCTTTATGCTGCGCAGAAGTTTGAAGTGTTTCTTGGTAGGCGATGTTTCAGGGTCCAAGGTGTCTATTCCAAAGGGGGAGCAACCGAGAGCCTGATAATTGCCGTACGCAACCCAGATACGACGTGCGCCGTACTCATCCCGCCGCTGCTCGGGGATGAAGAGAGGCCGATCGTTGTGACGGTAACACTCACAGACCAGCTCATAGTCTTGGAGGTAAATATCGGGTGCCCAGAACGCAATATCTGGGGCGTTGTGTTGATAAATGTCTAGGTTGTGGCCGACGGGGCCTCCAGAGGGATACTGGCCGGGGACGTCGCCTGCAGGGACCTCATCGGGAATGGACTCAACGTCCAACCAGGACGGGTCCTCCGAACATAGCGCGACATTGACATAGTAGGGAATATCATACTCAGCGCGTCCGGCGGCTGTGACCGCCTGAATGTACCGAGAGAAGGCATCTGCCATGAACAAGTCATCCGCAAAGGGCCCGGGTCCGAATGCTTCTATCCATGTAGGGGAGGTGGCAGGATTTCCTAGGGCGTCAGAGAATCGTTTCCGGAATTCTGCATGGAGGGTGCTTTTGTTTGTCTGCAAATACGCCCACAGATCCGCGGGAACAGGTTTCTGGATCAGTTCATCGGCAATGCGAGATCGATCTCTGGAGTCGCCCATCACTCCTATTTCGTTCTGCACCTGCACCATTAGGATAGTGCTATGATCCTCATCAAGACGCTTGATATGTCTCATCAAGTTGGCGAAGGCGCGCGCGTCTGCCTTCCAGGCCTCCTTGCAATGGGGTTGGACAGCTTCGAGAGTTTTTAGGGTGCCCTCCTTGTTCTTGATGTGAATCCGTGGGAAGCGATCAATATCTGTCTTGACCCAGATCGGAGCGTACGAGCTGAGCGTGTTCTTGTATGCTCCGAACCATAGCAAGACGAGATGCAGGCCGTGTTTGCGCGCACCCAGGACGCATTTGTCGAGTTCAGAGAAGTCAAAGGTTCCCTCGGTAGGCTCGATCATCTCCCATGTCACTGGGGCGAGAATAGTGTTTGCGTGAATAGCCTTCATTTCAGGCCACACCCGTTCCATGTACGCGGCGCTGCTGAAGGTGGAGTTGTGTAACTCGACTGGAAGCATCAGAAAAGGCTTTCCCTTGACCATCAGCTGGCTCGAGCCTCTGATTTTCCGCAAGTGCGGCGTCAAAGGTGTTGTAAGATCTGAAGCCATTTTGAGACCGACAGAAGTGAGATTCGGTTAAGGTAGTTGGTGCTTTGTGCGCTTTCAAGGCACTGAATAGCCTTTCTACTTTCTGCGCTGGTGCTAGTTTGGCAGAGAGAAGAAGCGGTCGTATGGAGGGGAGGCTCATTTCGACAGTGGTGCACATCCCCACGTTAAATCGGCAACAAAGAGCAACTGAGAGATGACCCCGCTCGAGGAATGAATTCGTTGTAAGCCGTCTGCGCCGAGAGTTGACGTGCCCAGGAAACGCCCAGCACATGGGCTGAGTTGGAACAGCTACCGGCACCCGTTGACCCGAAGCAAACTGCACATTGATATTAGCTGCTGCAAAGATCATCTACCAATGGTGGTCCAAGGTTCAAGGAAACATACACCCTGCCCTGTCCGGCTAAATGTTGTGTCCCACACAGACCGACAAGGTTGCTTCTGCCGAGTGAACTAAACCAATTAAGAATCATACATCGTAGCATTAGCTAGGGGAGAGTTTCCAACCCCAAGCGGGTGAGAGGGGAGAGCCGAAGCCATATTGGTTTCTCCTTCAGCCCCGCATATTTCGTATAGCAATCAGTATAATCTAGCCCTATTAGTACCGTTAGTTGGGTTACATCGACCAGTGGACACCTCGCTCGCATACATCATTCCTGTGGGCCGCTTGACGACCTGCGTTGGTGGAGCGTTTTGTCAAGCCGGCCCCCTTTGATACGCCATTACCCAATGGATACGTTAGGATTCGGTCTATGGTTGGTTAGAGTTATCCCTAGGATTAGTCGGTGACTGGTTCAAAGTGCAAAGGGGGTCGGCTGATAAGGAGGTCGAGAGGTCACCTTGACTGTATACGCGTATCGGTTTTCGAAGGTCAAGCTTTGGTTGCATGCCGCCCAAACCCCCCACCCTCAACTTTAAGCCCACAGAGGTCCTTTTAGCCATTGCAGTTCAATGACACAAATACGTCAAGCGAGGCGGTATGAATTGCATCAGTCGATGCTCGGGACATTTCCGAGCGAGTGGTAAATGGTTGTTTCAAACTCTACGACTTACAAGTCACTTGACAGCATCAGAGACGGCTCATGTAGAAAAGATTATTATTTGATTTTTATGGAGTGTTGGATCGCTATTTTTAACCTGGTGAATACCAGAAGGTGTCGATCTGGTACGATGTCCATGTCCTTTAGCGTGACTCACGATCTCCTTCAGGAGCCTGCGCAACGTCTACGGGATGCAACTTGAGTGTTGACCTTCTATACAAGGCAGTCCAATCGCTGGGAGATGAAGGAAGATGTAGAAAGTTGTCAATTGATCTTAGTTATATTGGGTTCTTATAGAGGTCGCCTCTGACCAGTCGCGGCTTAGTAGATTTAATAGCAGTTTAATAGAAATATATTACAAGATATAACTTTAGAATTATAAAATAATTATATATATTTAATATAATTATAATAAGAAAGTTTTAAAATTTATAATAAATTATAAAATAAAAATTAAATAATTTAATATAAAAATTTAATTATTATTATTATTAATTTAATTTATATTAATACTTTTAATTTTAAAATTTTATATAATTAATAATAAGAAATATATATATTAAGAAAAAAATTTATATATTTAATTTCTAAATAATATACTTAATAAATAAATAATATAATTAAGTAAATAATATATTTCTTTAATTTTTTTATAAAAATTATTTAATTAATTAAAATTATTTATTATGTTTTTCCTTAGATATTTTAATTATTACTTAATAAGTGTTTATATTATATTTAAGCTTATTATAAATACTATAGCATTAAATACCTAGTCTAATTAACCTTTTTTAATTATTACTCTTTAATAATTTAGCTATTATTTATATAGTAATATTTATTTAATTAATTATTTACTCTCTCTCTTTTATTATTATAACCCTTTTTTTTATAATTTAATTCTTTTTTATATTTTAATATTAATTAAATATTTTATTTATTTCTTAAAAGTCTTTATTTTTAATAATTAATAAAGTAATTTAATATATAATAGCTTTTATTTCTTTTATAAGACTTTAAAAAGCCTTTAAAATTAATTCTAAAGAATTATTTTAATATCTTTTAATTTATTTTTTAAGGTATTTTAACTAAGATTTAGCCTTAAGTATAATCTTTAAGGTTCTTAAAGCCTAAGAAGTTAATAATTTAATTACCTCTTTAATTAATATTAATATCTATAGCTATATATTAAGCTTTAAGATTATATTTTCTAAATCTAAATAAATAAATTTAATTCCTTTAAATACTTATTTAATATTTTATTTTATTATAATAGCTTTATATATAATATAAAAGGCTAGGAAAAACTTAATTTTTAAAATATAAATTATAAAGTATTTAATTAGATATTTTATTTCTTAATTATAAGCTTTTTTTAATATATTAAAAGACTTAATATTAAAAGACTAAAATAAATAAGAGAAATAAAATAATATATAAAGATAAAAAAAGATTTCTTATAATATCTTTTAAATTTAATAAAATAATAATTTTTATAATTAATAATTAAATTACTTAGTTTCTTTATTAATTATTTAAATAATTATAATTTATTTTTAATTTTTAAGCTATATAAATTTTAGCTTTAAATACCTTTTTATATTTATAATAATTATTTTATTTATAATTATACTTATAAGAAAATCAATCTTATTAAAGTTATAAATATTATTTAATTAAATATTATATTTTATAATTATCTTTACTATAAGCTAAAATTAATTATAAATAATAATTAATTAATTATATCTTTTTTTTTATAAAGCTAAGAGAAATATTTTTATAAATCTAATATTACGACCCTCGCAGCTATATCACGCGGTCCCCATAAATCCCGAGTCTTAGATCACTAATTATAATAGGACTAATATACTAAGGACCGATATTATTCCTAGACCGCATCGATCTTAGAATAATATTATGCCTATGCGCGATTAGCTTTACTTAAGGAAGCCAAAATATATAAAATATACTTATTATACTTTCTTATATAATAATTACCTTAGCTATTAATATAACTTAGTTATACTTAATACCCTTAAGTATATTACTAGATATAATTTATACCCTTATTTAAAATAATACTAATAATCCCCTATTAATATAAACCTAATATAACCAGTTTATCCCTTAGAATATACTATACCGTTATATATTAATAGCTTTTATTTAGAGGATTACTTATATTACCTTAAATAATATTAAATATAATAGCTACTTAGGCTATTCCTAATAATAATTACTAATAAGTTCTACCTATTAACTACCTATTTACCCCTATCGCATTAGTTTAGGCTAACCCTAATAGCGACGAAGAAATAGATAATAACGACGAAGAAGTTAAGTAATTCTATACCTAGGTTATTACTATAACTACCGAAATAGAGGAACTTAGAGGACTTATCGACTATATAGCTATTACTTAGTAAGCTTAGAACTAATAATACTATAAGAATATCTAGAATATTAATAATATAGCGGTTACCGCTATAAAGGGCAAAGATATTAGAGAAATCCTAAAGCTAGAATAATTAGAGAAGTTTAATAGCGCTGTATATAAATTACTAATATTCCTTATATAACTATATATATTTATACTTTATTACCCTATATAATTTACTATAGTATCTAGTAAGGTCTAATATGCCGCTAGGTATCTCACTAAGTATATTATAGCCTAATTCGAACCTATCCTAAAAGAATACCTTATTAAACTACTTAATAAATACTCGCCTTAGACTATAAACCTCTATTTTAGCTTTAAAGCCTTTAAAGCTATGCTCTAATAAGCTTTTAGAATAATAAATAAAAAGGCCTAAGCGGAAAGGGAAATTAAGGCACTTTAATAAACCTACTTTATATTAGAATATAGCACTAAGTACCTCTAGCTCGCCTTAAAGCTTAATTAGGACTAAGAACCCCTAATATCCTTTTTCTTTAATAGACTTAAGAAAAAGGTATAGGCTAAACTCTATAAGGAAGACCGGCCTAATAACCTTATTAATTATATTAGCTAAGTAATTAAGATTAATAACTAATAGTTCTCTTAGAAGAAACTCTAAAACCCCTATAATAATAAAGAAAATTATTAGAAACCTTAGTTTAATACTAACTAAGGGCGATATTAATAAAATAATATATCCTATAGAACCTATATAAGACCTATAAAACTTAGAGTAACCTAATAGAAGAAATATAATTACTATAGACTTAAATACTAATATTACTATAAGATAAACTATATTAAGAAGATCTACTATAAGAAGTAATATAATATTAAGGAAAGCTATTATTAGCTATAGTAATAATAACTCCCTAAAGGCAAAAAATAAATAAGATTCGCATAAGCTAATAATAAACCATAGATAGCTCTTTAAATAACTAAGATACTTAGTATAGCCCGGACTAGGTATAATAATACTAGTCTAGAACTAAGGGAAGTTACTATGCCCTATAGCTAGGTATACCTCACTAAGGAATAATTTAGGCATAATAATTACCCCTAGCTAAAGCTATAATATATTATAATAAAACCCCTAAAGATAAAATAGCTCTACCTTATAGATAGGCTAGGATAGAGGCTATTACCTGAATTAACTAATAAACCTAATAAAGACCCTAGTACTAAGACTATTATAATAATAAGATAAATTAAGTAATATAATAAGGATCTTAACTATAGCGTAAGAATAAAGGCTTAGCGATAATTAATAATAGCCCGGATTTAAAACTAATAAAATCCCAAAATAGATAATTACCTATAGAAAGAGGAATATTACCTATAACTCTACGATAAATACGGCAATTAATATTAGAATTTATTATAAGAATGATATATCTAGACCGCAAGGGAATATATAGATATTACTA